TTTTAGTATGCTAATTATTCGAGACTTGAAACTCTTTTAAAAGAGTTATCACTTAATATTTACAGTCTTTAGAATGGCGTACCCTAGGTGCCAGAGGTTTTTTTTTCCCTGTTGTTTGCTGCGAAAATTGAGCGGCGAAGCGGCGATCGTGACGAGCGGCAAAAGCCGAGGTTTTTTTCCCGCTCGTCACAATCGCGGCTTCGCCGTTCAATTGTCGCCGCAAAAAACAGGAAAAAAAAAACCTCAGGCACCAAGGGTAAGAATGGGGTTACTATGACGCCGAACCGTCGACTTTCTACACTCATTTTTATTTGTTGCTTTAGTAAATCGCTGTTGATTAAAAATTGGAAGCAAACCATAATTGTTCGAGAGAGTAGAGCCCTTGAATTAGCGTCACATTTATCCAGCAACACGTACAACACGGAGCAAAGTGATTTTGCATATGGTTAATGCTGATATACTATTTCGCCTGATATTGTTATTGTTGTTATACTTATTTATTTGGAACAGAAACTAAGACACGTGGATCTCTAAAACTAAATATTATTACGTTCTCTCCATGACGGCTGCTCATGTTACGTATCGTTTTGAACAAAAACAAAACAGTGTTGAAAATTATGGCCCAGCACCCTTTTAGTGAAGCTCTTTGAGAATTACTGTCATTAAAAGAAGAAGTATGTGCTAGTATTTGGGCCACTCGGGATTCTGCAGTTTTTGATAGTTGATGTTTCCTGAAATATGGCGTGGATAAAGCCACAGAAACCTTCAAAGATTACGTGTTACCACGAACCGTCACTGAAACCGTTGGCTCTTAAATCTTTTGAATTCAATTCCTGATTTACTGAAAAATGAATAATGATGTTACAATGCAATGAGATTGCCCATAAGACAAATTGCCAAAAAATGCGGCGAAAACAAAAAACAGAGAGAAAAACAGAGAGAAAGTAAAGGGAAATCAGGCTATTCCAGCGGAAAAAGGTTTTAAGTCAACTGAACTGAAAAGAGGGGCCGGAAAACTCTGCTGATACCAAACAAATACGTAATATTTTCCTTTTCTTCTTGTCGCTCAGGCAATGATATTGCCTTAGTTGTTGACTTTTTCTGTGACATTGACGTGGGCAGTTAATCAGTAACATGCTTGCGTTTAAGTCAGTTTTTAAAGGCAATATATAACAAAAAATAAAGACCACATTCGTCAGACATTGAGGGCCAGTCCGGCTGTAAACAACCTTGTTACAGGTGTTTTAATATTGGGGGACGTTCGATAACCCCTTCGGCTCTTGAATAGGAATACATCCGGAAATACTCTTCTCACTGAATAATACCCCTGTTTTGTACATCTTGAACGATGGTTTTTTCAGGAATATTTTTACAAATATAGCGTCATATATCAACTTTGAAAAACGGAAGTACATTGAATTTCTGCAGGAAGAGAGCTAGGGACTTTGTTTTGGAGAATATTATATTATTTAAAGAGCGTACAATGACTGAAACAAGAAACACGATTTTCTCTTACGCGTCTCACGTTACTTTCTTTTTCTTAAAAAAATGACATCAAAATGACATCACTATTCCCCTTTATGTAAGTTCCGCTCCCCAGAGCAAAATGTTTAGAAAATATTCTATTTATAGCAGGTCATAATGAACGAATATTCTTGACTTTCCTAGGTACTTATATTGCTATTTACGTAGAATAAGCTCAATCGAAATCACCGTTAGTTTATAAGACCTTATAAAGCCCGTGAAATGAGTGCGCTCCAAACTTTTACAGAGTTGTTATCGCAACGTTATTTTAATCACTAAGAACACTTAACGTCATAGCGTGTTTAGGGGTGTGCTGTCGTCATATGTGTCTTAGCAACTGCCGGCATTATTCCTTTTTCGACAATTCCATGTTCTTTTGTGAGCATTGCGGTTCACTTAGCGAAACAAAAACACGCACGGCGTGAGATTGTTAGCTACATAAATACAAACACCTCAACATCAGGAATAAATTTGCCCATAGGATTTTCCCAGGACGAGTTCAGCTTGTTGAGTTCAGTATTTTCAAAGCGATATGTTGTGGCTGCCTCGTTGTATTTGTCTGTTTTTCATGGTCCATTTGTCTGGTAAGCGCCTTTAGCCGTTACCTATACTGTATTCTTGAGTCTTATCATTCTACAGTCTTTTTTAATTTAAGACATTTGGCCCAGGAAAAGGCCGAATATTATGTTTAGCTACTGTAGAAATTTGTGGCAAGCAATTTCAAACCTTGCCGCGACAGCCTTTACACGCGTACGTATTTAACCACTACTTTAATTATGCTTTTGGTGCCTAAGATGAGTGATTTGTTTGCTATCGGTGAAGTGATTATGAACTGTAACAAAACGGTCATTAGCTGTCAGTAGAGTTCGGTACATAGAGAAGACAAAAAGCATCGCGTCTTGCAACGCTTTTTGGGGTGATTTCATTGCAGGGTACTGCAGTTATTTGTCGCGTTGAATGTGTTATACGATAGGCTAATATATGGAATAAACAGGAATACACAGTACAGTTCTTCAAGTTGATAAAAAGTGAAGCCAAGATAATTTGTTCAGTCGATTCCTGCTTTACCTCCATTTAGGTATATTTCATGGAATAAGCGGCCTCCCAAGTAAAAGAAATTAATTTGAAACATATTTCAATGGAAAGGATTTTAAACTTCTGGACAACTAAACTTCCTTAACATGAAGAACAATCTACTTCAGTGACTTTTCTTTGACTGCTTCCATCAACTTTCTTTCAACTAGCATTTACCAATTGCCTAAATAGAGCCACGAAACTTCCGTTGCCTCTTTGTTCTAAATGCCATTCACCGATTAGTTTTAAATAATCATTATTTAAAAACATTAAAATTACTTTTAAGGGGTAACAGAGCCACAGCGGGTAGTTGCGGAGAGGATTCATGGATGAGCAAGCTTACTGTAGTTTTTCCTTAAGGCATAAAATGGAAATCAGATAAGATTCTTGTTTGCTGAGCTAAATCTAGTCTCTTATAAGTACGCTCGCGGCCACTTCCTGTAATGTTTAACGACGACTTTGTATTGATGTCCTCTGATTTCTTTAAAGTTCCGTTATCCACTACAAAAATAGAGGATATTATAATTCAGCTTGTAAATTTCCCTCCAAATTGTCTCACCACTGTAAAGTCAAGAAACGCTTGTCTTAAAATGTGATTAAACGGCATTGGGTTAAAATAACTTCGTCATAATTGAGGGATGTTCATTATCTGATTTAAGGTGTTTCGATACAGTTTTTCAAAGGCCATACCGATATTTTTCAATCGCCTTAAAAGTAGTTTTTTCCTTGTCCGATCGCTATAAAATTTTCACCAGTAATTGGCTATGGATTGAAATTTGTGAAAATGTAGTTTTAAGTAAAATCGATATTACTATGACAACAATAAACAAAAAACTTTGAAATTGATAAAAGCCGAATTTTGTGTGATCTAGACCTGCTACTGAAAATCCAACACTAGGAACTTAAAGTTTGGTGTTGAGCAAACAATCTCCGTAAGAAGTAAAAAATTCTGTATGTTTGAATTCGAATAAAA